CTTCCTGCAGTTATTGTGTTCACAATCTGGCTTCATTGTACAGTTTCTCAGTTGTTCTCTACTTTTATTGTTGTGCATATGCATAAAATAGGAAATACACATAAAATATGCAGAAAAAATAACTTCTAAAGTACCAACAACTGAGAATGTTGAAATATACACGTTGGTTACATATATTTTGTGTAATATATATTTTCCACGTGCTGTTATTTTCCTAAAATTGTAGAAACATTTTTAAACATGCCTGCTGATGCATTTGGTGCCAAAAAATACCAATACCACCCTTCCGCCAAGCAACATAGTACTTCGAGAACCTCACCACCGAGTGTCTGGGGAGCGCATGGATATGTTAATTAGCTGCGGTGCGGTCACAGGTGCGCGCTTGTAGTGAAGCAGCGCCGCTTTCCACACGGGCTGAGCGTTGAGAGGACGGGGCAACAAGATGCCGTTGAGGCGGACGAGAAATGCCCAGGTTAAAGAGCAGCTGGGCCGGGAGATGCGACAGAGCAGACTGGCCCTCTTCATTCAGCAGTTCGAGAAAGAAGGTTTGCTACTGACTGCAGGTCCAATGTCAGGTTTCACGTCCTCGGCTGTTTGTTGTCCTGAAATGCCGAAAATGTCCCCTTACAGCACAAGAGCGTATGAACGAGCTGGAGGCCAAAATGGAGAACATGTTGGCAACAGTGGACAAAGTCTTCAAAGTGGAACTGATGAAGATGCCTCCTTCTCTTCAAAACACGTTCATAGGGGATTTAATAAGCGGTGAGCCCCCCTCACGTATACATTCAAATAAGTTTACTCCTCCAAGCGTGTCTGAGATTCATAACAAGTTTCTTTTCCACTCCATCTTCTGTTAGAGGAAGAGATCTCAGCAAGTGATGTGTCAATTGCCATGAAGGTGAGTAGAGACTGTTGTTAAGTCGCTGCCATGTTTGGTGCTTTTTCATTATTGTAACAGGTATAATTGTGTCGTTTTGCAGAATGAGTCTCTTGAGATGCACCAGCCCCTCAGGAGGGTACCCAGCAAAAGAGGTGAACACAGTTTGAGATCCTGCAGTAAATGTCATTGTCTGACATTGTGTTACTTCAACAGCCATCTTCTGTGCTTTTATTTTTAAAGGGAAATCAACTGATTCTACCCCAGGTCAGTCCACCCCAGCCCAGAGGACCTCATCCAAGACCTCTAAGGTGAGTAATGTCTGCACACATGAGGGAGACGGTTGGTTTTAACATGGATTTTTAACTTTTAAATACAAAAAAGGTATTTTCAAATATTAAACATCATTTATGTGGTAAAACACAAGCTTCTTTTAATAAGATCCAGATCCCCTTTGATAGAGGAGGGGGAATGAAAACTAAGGGAAGAGCTAAAGGACAGACATTAGTTATCATATTCATATTATATCAATTATATGTACAGCATATAGAGAAGTAGTAGTTGTAGAGGCACAAAACGGAGAAACAATGACAATATTAAGGAATTAATGTACATACTAAGTATAAACTTCCTCAAAGTCAAGGAGATTCAGACAAATATAAAGCTACAGGAGGGTTATTCTCCTCTCATAAGTGTCTGTTTTGTTCCTACATTGTACATCTAGTCTGACATTTTGTGCAGGAGAAATCTGATAAATATTTGGACATACTTGGAGTAAATTTGCCTTGGATAATGCAGGGCGAAAGAGCAACAGCTTGTAGAATAATATCAAGTACTGGTTTGCTTACTGTGGCACTGTATGTTGTTTTTCTGAACTATATCAAGTGTTTGAAATCCACAATTTTCTGTGTCTGTGTTTTTGTTTTCAGGGAGGAAAGGGGGCAAAAAAGAGCAGAACATTAGTTGGTAGTAACAGCACTGGGAATCTCAGGTAAGAGTTGCAGGTTAATGTGTTTTCTAATGCGGTGAATGAGTATGGAGACTTTGACGTCGCACTCACGGTCTACAGGGGCTCCTCAGTCACTGCCAAAAGAACCCAAAGCCGCTTGACCAAAACCAACGACCAGGCCGTACCGACCAAACCTAAACTCAGGTCTGTTTGTGGTGTAGATGTTGATGATGCACACATGAACAGGACTTGTATTTAAATCAGATGTACAGATATTTTAACAGCTCTAAATTGACTTGTCAATCTTGTGCTGTCCCAGGTCTGTCGTCTCTGCTGGTGATCTGCACTGTTCAATGGCAGGCTCTGCTGCACACATCACTGTAACCACGGCACAGGGGCAGGTACTCGTATATATTTTTTTTTATCCTTCTTACTTCGTACCAACTCTTAAGGAAGCAATGCTGTTAGATTATTTTTTATTTAAAGCAAGGCGATATGTCAAAGCCTTGTAAGACTAAGTGCTTCAAATCATTTGTATAAAGCACTGAAACCCTTCTACACCCAAGGAGATGATTTCTAGTACAGACATGTCTTTCTTTACTGCTACTATTTAATTTAAATGTTTAAAATATACCTGGATTATTGGGAGATGCCACAAACTTGTATGGATGTTCTCCATGTGGTCTTCCTTCCTAGACCGTTAGCTTTTCTGAAGAGACCAAGGATGCCGTTAACTTGGACTTGCTGGATGACGTGGCATGGTGCCAGATTCAGAAGCTCACGGTAATAGAGAATTCATCTTTAATGTGACTTAAGTGTTTATATATTCTTAAGCATCTGAAGTGTTCCTTTGTACCAACCTGTAATCTGTCTCTGCTAACTGCATTTTCAGAGTCTGATGGAGTATCTGTCGAGGCGAAGTCGCTGCCAGCGATGAGTAAAGATGCCTGAACATCCACCGTTGATTTTCTTATCAGATTTGCAAATACAGTAATAATAACAGTTGTGCTTTGGTTGTCTTAAAGAGTTTTAAAAATATATAATAAAGCTTATTATTATCCTACATTATTCAGTCAGTAGTATTTGCATCTAGTCTCTTGTCTAAAATTTAAAAATGACCCGTAATAAGTTTCAAATTGTACTGAATATGCTTGTCGTCCTACAAATGATTAGATTTTCAATTAACAACTGACATACACTTACTCTACATATGTGGGAGAAATACAAAATTGGTTGTTACTTTGAATGGAAGTTATAAGTCAGTTTACTGTGGCCTAGTACAGAGAGGTGTAAGAGTTGTATTCTTGATGACTGTATGGTTTTAAGTGTAGAAACTCAATTTGAGTTAAGATCTTGCCACATTTATTTTCTGTCTTTACAAACAAGCAGTTTCCTAACTGTCTGTATTTTGTAAAAATCTTAAAGCTGTTAGTTCTAGAGACACAAAATCTAGTACAGATATTTATGTGGAGGAAAAAACAATAAATGCATACATCTCATTCCAGTAACTTTTATTTTGAAATAAGCACATGATTAAGTTTTGCCAGTGTATGTCTCGCTTATAAAACTTATAAAATTGGGCACAGAATTGACAAATATAAGATTTTAGGTGATTTTGGTTACAGCAAGAATTAAAAAATAAGTATAAAACAAGTATTGTTGTTTGTTGACATGTAGCTATATTAAAGTATAACATCCTAATGCATTCAACATTATATTAAAAAGTGCAATCTTTGCCTAAAAAAGCAGAATATATTACTTAAAACTCAGAACATGAAGCTGCAATGGATCACTAGTGCCGCTGGGACTGCAGCGACTCCATCTCCACTTCCATGGGCTCCTCTCGGTGTAGCTGGGAGGAGTGAGAGCAGGAGGACGTAGCTTGTGTGCCACAAGAATCAGAAGCCGGCGTACGAGTCTGATTCTCATCCGGGGCCATCCGGGGGTAGAAGGGACCGACCAGCCAGTTGAGCGGCGTGTTATTGACCAGGTAGTCCATGACGTTGTCTAGGGAATCTTTCATTTTGCCCAGTTGAACTTTGCTGCTGGTCAGCACGCTGCTGGGCAGGTCTCCCAGCATGTTAGCCTTGCTGAAGCTGGTGTATATTTGTGTGGCCGAGTGCCTGAGTGAGAGCACCTCCTGCTGGATGTTGTTGGGGAGGCCCTGCAGGCTGGAGACGAGGACCAGGCAGGTGGTCTGGAGCTGCTGGGTGAGGGAATGTGCCAGAGCCAAGGTGCGAGACTCGATTACCTGAGTGCAGGGGATGAACAGATAGAAATAATCACACATACTTCGAACTCAAGTGGTGTAAAACAGACTGATGTGTCTCTTTTCTTGATGAATTGAGTATGTTATCTCATTGCATATTTGTGTTGTCCACCTCACCTCTGCCTCATGACCATTGGACTTCCACGCCACCAGGGAGCTCAGCTTGTCATTCACCATCTGGTTAGCCCCGTCAATATTCTTCCTACCATATTCAATCTACAAAAACAAACACTTCAATTATTTTCTGTCCACAAGTTTCTGCCCCTTTAGGGGAGAACTTTAATGAATATTGAGCTACTTTACAACAACAAGTTTGTCCCCATATCATCATAAAGACTTTTCCTTATCGTAAAGCATGTTGCATTAAGTGCTACTAATATTAATAAATAAGGAGGCCCACCAGGTCGACAGTGGAGCTCAGCTCAGAGATGAATTCCCTGCTTCGCTGCCTGCCGTCTTGGATTTTGGCCAGGGCCCTGGTGTACGCCCGCTTTCGCAGCTTGGTGGAGAGGGAACCCAGGCGGACATAGTAGCTCGACTCCTTCTTGTCAAAGCCTCTCACATTTTTGGCCTCCAGCTCTGTCACAAGGGAAGGAAACATGAACAAACAACATACGATTACTTTGAGTTCTGTTTCAGACGTCCGATCCGGTTTTTGCACGTTGGAAGGGGCTGGAGGCTTTAAAGCCGTGAAGAATGTAATTTACTCACTAGTCAGTCCCTCAGAACAGATGCATTTAAACTAACAGTGTACGGGATTGTTTGTTATAAATGTCTGCACGCCACAGTTCACTCTAAACAACGACTCCTTTTAATGATGGAGAAAAACTGGCCACTAATGTAAACAGAGCATAATCTGATAAGTCCTGTTTTCTCGGAAACTGACCCGACTCCCTCGCTAACAACATCCTCCAGCTGTCTGTCAATAACTGACCTTTGATACAGCCTGTTACAGAACAACAGGCGTATTCTCACTAGTAAAATGGGGTCATGAGTAGATGTGTTTTATGCTGGTACAGGAAATGTAGCTCGTCTAACTGGTAGTTTTCCACTCACCCAGCTCGTCCTCCGTCACAGGCAGGTACTGGTCCACCAGGCTCTCAGAGGTGCTGAGGGCCGTGTCCACTCCGCTGCTGACCAGCCGGGCCACTCTGCTCTCCAGCACTGTGGTGACACTCTCGCTGACAACGGCCCTGGTCTTGTCCATCCCGTCCTGCACCGCGCCCCGAGTCTTTACCACGGCGCTGGTCAGACTGTCTGAGACTGTGTCCTTGGCACCGGACACCGTGCCTGTCACAACATCTTTAGCGTTGGTTACCACATCCTTGGCACTGGAAACGATCTGGGCACAGACGGAATCATGAACAAATATATATTTAATTAATTATGGCAAAATATGAGCGGGTTGAGAAAGACGGGACATTACGACATTGTGTAATTTGGCTCGAGTATGAGCGCTCTGACCTTTGAGGCTGTGTTTAACTGTGCCAGCTATTGGTCTCTAATCCAGTACGTACCTGCTCAGACGGCTGGTGAAGAATCGGCAAGGTTTTCTCAATCTTGTCCAAACCTTTACAGGCCAGGTCATTAGCAATGGCAACTGTAGGCAAAATGTAAGTAAATTAGACGTAATAAGGCAAGCTGAAACAATGTCAAACATACATTTACTGTGGAAATAGTAGGGATATAACTGAATAAATGTTCCTTTTAAGTAAAATAATGGAGTTTTTTGTGGCTCAAATCTGGGTGATTCTAGAGTAAACACAAAAACTGGGTGAAAGATCAAGATGAGTAAGAGCCAGCACCCTGACGTGAACTTCCTGCTTCAAGCTTGTGTGACTCAGCACTGAATCATCCTCACAGTTTCAGATCATCAGGTTTTGTTTTGACATCCTATAAACTTAGTAGCCATGTCTACCGATGGATTTGATCAGCTCATCTACAAAGAAATCACACTAAAGAGGTTCCTACTCTGAGGCTCCAGCTTGTCGATGATGGGTGAAGCCGTGGTGAGGACCACAGAGGTGATGTTTCGGACTCCCTGCTCAGCAGCCTCACACACGCTCTTGATGTAAGGGTGGTTGTCCTTGGTGTTGCAGTACACGCTGGACACCAGGCCATAGGTGGAGCTCACCAGAGGAAGGCTGGTCACCCTCTCCACCACATTCTGTAAGGAGGCAGAGAAGAGGAAGAGGAGGTTTACAACACTTCTATTCACTGTTTGACTGTGCTGTTCCTTTTTTTTTGTCCAAAGAGTATTTGAATAGATCCAGTACTATCAATAATCACTTCCTATTTCTATTCCACTGAGTTTTTAAATAATAATAGAGTAATAATAGAGAAACTGGACATTTAAGTAGCCTGCCATGGTCTTATTCCTGAATGTGTAGAATAGCTTTCTAGTGTCCATTCTTGGCTTTTAAATGGATCAAAATCAGCTTTTTCTCCAACACACACCCCTGCCAGTTCCACCTTCATCATAGTTGCTTTTCAGTCCACAAATATTGACCAAATAAAGCTAAAGTCTTTCTAGCAAACTCACCTGATTTAAGATAACTGCAGCTGCTGCCATGTCTGCTGAACACAACCTATAGAGAAGAGAAGACACAATATGAAACATTCAGAAGAACAAAAACCTCCACAAGTCTATTACTTCCGTATTACAGTAGTCTGTCCTTGTGGCTGTATAATAACACAAGCTCAAAGTAGGTCGACAAGTAACTTTAAAGAGCGGAAAGTAAAGTCTTACCGATATTTAGGGCGTCTGGTTACAATCTAAAGTGCGAATGAGCTGACTGATACTTTGAGGAGCGACAGCCGCTGTATTTATATTCTTTAATTATCGCGAGATGTAGCGCGGCACGGTGACGTAAGCCGCAGTAATGTTTGTAGGGCAAAGGTAAAAGTGGTAAAAGTTGAACCGGGGAATTCCTCTGGAGCCAGCCGTCACATGGACAAGCTATGACACAGCGGTCTGATTTCTTAACATTTCACCAGACACTGGCATTTTTGGCTCAAATTATTATTATTATTTGATTATTGTGTGGTTAAGTGGACTAGAGCGCTGTATTTCAAATAGAAACTCTACACATTAACATACATATACATACATTAACTGCACCTCTAACATGATTTATAAATATACACAAGGCGGCAGTAAAAGGGGGACCCTAGGGCAAAACTTATCTAAGGGCCCCTAGTTGACCTGTAGTAGTGCAATGCACTGGAGAGTGCACACGATAGGCTATTTTAACTCTATTTTTAACGAAACACCAAGCAGTTAAACACTATTAAATGAGATAATATAGGTCTAGTAAGGTAATACTGTGCATTAGTGGCTCATGTTGCCAAATAAATCTGCAATAAATCAAATTATCACAGACAACAAACATACAGCCAAGGTGAGGCTTTTGCAGGTCCCGATGGCTTTGGGGCCCTGGAGACAGTTGTCTGCTTTATAAGATTAAATTCAGCTTTGAGTACACAGGACTTTCGTATGGCTCCGACAGGACATCATTATCATCAACTATCATTTTCATTTTAAGGCTCAAAGCCACACGATTTACATAGTACCTCGACAATCATCGAGATTTAAAGACCTTTGAATGAGATGATAGAAGATGATGGACAATCATAGATCCAGTACTGGTTTTTGTTGGCCACGTAGTTTTTAAGTATCTTATCAAGGTTATGCTCTGAGGAAATCAAGGCCTCAAAATGTGTTTACATAGGCTCTGTGTGTGTTCACTGGCATTATCCATGAAATTACATGCAACAAATCACAAGAGGAAGAATCATTTTCTTAGAACTGGATCACGTATTTTCAAAGTAAAACTAGAAGAATTGTATGAGATTTGGATCATGTTTTTCTGGAAGATACAAATAAAAGAAAAGCAATCCCAACACTAGACTTGCCTCGGGAAATTCATACATAGAGAGTAAAATATTGTGTCAGTCTATTGTGTTTATAGGTACATAGACAAACAGTGTATGAACTCAATGCACTCAATCTTCTGAATCATGTCTTTAAAAAGATCTCAGCTTATGGTTTATATGTTTTTGATCATCCACTGCAGTTTTTCCACACATATTAATGTTCAGTTAATGATATGTTGAACACAAAAACTCTGCCCATGATTTGTCCACCATGGAAGGAAGCCAGTGTGGCGGTATACTTGCTCTCATGCTATTTACGAGAAACACTGAGTGATATTTTTAAATGAATGCAAGAAATCTGACCAACCTAACACCTCACTTAATACATTTGTGATGACTTAATTCAATGGCCCAAACACTACCATACGTCAGTGGTTTACCCGCAGATAAACAGGTCTGTGTTTGCCAGTAGCTCATCAGAGCCACATGTATGACTCTGTTTGTAATTTGAGGGCACTTCAGTATTTTTTCTGTGTCAATGCATTTGTGTTTCTGTGAAGAATTTTTGTGTGTTATTAAAAATGTAAATGAAGTGTTAATGCGGTTGCTTTGATGGTACACATTTGGAAGCCAGATGAGGAAACATTGGCTTAGTTCAGATTCTCCAGTTGGCGAACACATTGGGGTCCTGGATTCTGTATGAACCCCTTGGGGCCCATTTATCAGCCTTTGTATAACTCAAATAGACCTCATATGAAAATGTTGGCTGCAGTAAACCACAGACTGTAATTTTTAATAAGTTTCTGTCTGAAGGAAGTCCATCCAAGAAGATATTTAGTTCTGATTTATTTATGAATTATATAACAAACAGATTGACAATCTACAGTAATATACAGTACGCAGGCCTACCTCTACACACATTGATACCACGTTGTACAGGACATTGATCTGCTCGTAGTGTATTGTCCACGTCATATTCTTTTAATTGCCTTGATCCTTTATGTGATTTGAAGTACAAAGTACAAAGCTGATCGAGAATTATGACTCATCAGGAATACATGATGAAATCTATAATAAAGTTCATTATGGGCTTAGAGGACTACAGTGGGGTCAACATCTTTTAAACCTGGATATTGTAAATGTTGTGTTTTAGGGTCCAGTTAGAGCATGACTGGAATGCTGTCTATGTTTCAGTGAAGATGTGTTCATGTGTGTTCAGTGTTACTTATAATATAACTGTCACTGGCTTCAGAACACTTGGATATTGCTCCATGGGCTGTTTGAAGTAATTTAATGTGTGAAAATTCATAGATAAAGCCCAGCTGAACTACCCTGAAGACAGGTGGGTTAAGGTTAGTTGTAGATGTAACAGTTAACTTATTTTTAAGAAAATGTAAATAGTTTTTATATATAGTTTACAAATGGGTAGTATTATTCAATCTCACCACAACAAGCCCATTAAAACAGTATCCTTTTGAGCACAGTTAAACCACGCCATGACACTTCAGTGGAATATGTCCACACACTGCTGAGCTTCAACGCTTTGTGTAAATAAAAATTTATAAAGTGACACAGTCAAGGTCAGTCTGGTTGATTGTCCGAACCTGACTTGTTTAAAATCACCTGATAATCTTGCTGCCTATCAGATAAAGAGAAACATCCAGACCCCCGCAGGCCACAGTAAACTACACTTTGAGTTGAACATTGTTTCAGCTCTCTGGAAAGATCATTTCACAATAGAAGCACTAAATGTTGAAATTCATTCTCTTTTTTTTACCCAATTACAGAGCATTTTGTGTAAGCAGGATGCCAAGTAACTGTGAATGAAGTGATACTGGATATTAATATGGTGCTACTCATTTTAAATGAAAACAGAAAGTGAAATTTATGATAAATTATTAAGATTTACGGCCATCTGTTTAAATGATCTTTTGGATTCTAACTGTAGCTCTTTCCTCATTCTCCATGTATGAGAAGATATTGAACATTAGCAGTTCATTTTAGGGACCTGGTCAAGTACCCATCCAAATACAACTGACCTTAATTAATTCAAATTAATAATTTAAACAAATCAAATACAGTATATTGAATAACAATGAACATGTTCTTGTGGTATTACTGTTATCTGATGGCCAAACCAGTCATCAGTACTGTGCCTATTCATAATATTTTATGAGCATATTCCTAGTATTTACAGATTTAGGCCACTAGATGACACCAAAGTAGAAAAAGTTCTTACATAAACATGTGGTATTACAGCCTGTCTCTTCCCCAAATCTTTCCCACCTCTTGTAATATTGAGTTTTCAGGTCAAAAATTGTGTCCGGTCCAGTTGTATAAATGTTACAACCAGCGCTGTCACTGGTGATGTTCCAGTCGGTTTATCTTTATGGAGCCATGTAAAGCGTGCAAAAAATGGTACCAAAAATAACGTTCATATTTTCGGGGTTAAAGGGGCATAAACGCAGGATCGAAAATGGATCCAGGAAACAGAATTAGTACACAGTTATATGAGAGAGTAAATCCATTTTTTAAAGACTTATTCGGTGGACGTGTGCACAGTTCCAAACAGGACTGAGGGGGGTTATAATCTAAGCCAAGCCTTGACTGCTTCTCTCATTCCACATACAGTCAAGATGAAAAGAAAGATCAGTCATGGAGGCTCTGCCCTCCTGTTTCCCGAGGGGTCTGCTGGTGTGCAGGTGGCAGCAGGGGTTATAGAGTCTGGCAGGACTGAAGAGGAGATCCTCACACGGCATCCCTCTATTGTGCCCCTCCGAGACAGGTAGGGCTGTGGGCAGCATGCCAAGGCTCCTCGCTGGGTAACGGATACCTGTGGGCTACTGGGAAAGTGTCACACCTCCGGATCACACACAGTCAGTGGCGCTGCGTGAAGAAAGAGCGCAGACAGGAAGAGAAAGACAGTGGCAGAGTGGCTGTCCTTTCATGATCTTTAGATCATGAGGAAAAGAGGCAGAAATGGGGCTTTAGAGCAAGGAAGAAAGAAAGTGACATGTCTTTGGTGCAGCGGTATGCTTTGGTTAACTCTACCCTCAAATGCTGCTGCCTTAAATACATCTCCTGTCAGACAGTGTAGCCTGAGCAACAACCACTAGTCTGGTGGACTGTCCATCAAACCTGCACTGTGGATTCAATCAAAACAGAGGGATTTTGCTTGGAACAATAATGTGTCTCTGACATGTTTTTTCCGTGAAAAAAGTATAATTCAAACATTGAAATCCTTAAAAAGAATCCAGAATCAATGAATATTCATATTTAAGTTTTCCTGCTGGACACAAGATGTCTCCTACTTCACTGTGAAGTCCGTTCTCAATGTATGTGCACTGGTGGCTTCAAGTTTCTACATCACACTTGTATGTGTGGCAGACTGGACCAGAATTGACTTCCAAATCATATGTGATGTCACAAACTATGCCTGTAGGCCCCGTCCCTTAAAATCAGATTTTTAATGAGCACAGAGAACTTTTCCACATTTAATAGGTTAATGTAAAACATCCTTCTAGTGTCAAACTCTGCACGTACATCATTCTGCACAGTAAAGCTCAAACATCCAACTGTAGGAACAAAAAGGAAAACATAAGGGGGACTTTAAGGTTCTCATGATCCTAAACTAAAACTACATGCTCTATATGAAATTAAAAATGACATAATTGTGTTGCTAACTCTGCACTCGCTATTCTTTTCACATACAAGTATTCATGTGATCCACTGTAATCTAAAAATATCAATTATAGCAGCTTTAAGTGAAGCCAGATAATGTGTCTAATTGTATGATAAAGACATATTTAAATACCAGGGGGACCTATCCAAAATATATTATATTTATTTATATAAATCTTCTTAAGTTCACATTTTTTGTTTTGCAGAATAGCAAATCTTAATTCATGTCACTGATGTATTTGCAGACATTACAGTCAT